GCCACTGTGCTCATTGGGACCTTTAAAGCAGCAGAATTTTTTCTGTACCCTTCCCCAGATCTGTGCCTCGAGACAATCCTGTCGAACCAACAACCTCTAATTAGAAGGTTGTTGGTTCGATCCCTGACTCCTCCTGCTGTATGTCGAAGTACCCTTAAGCAAGATACTGAACCCCAAATTGCTCACTGTGAATGAATAAATTAGTTTATGTTCAATGAATCACTGTGTGAATGTGTATGAAAAGGCAAATATGGCACGTAGTGTAAAAGCGCTTTGAGTGGTCGGAAGACTGGAAAGGCGCTATACAAGCACAGGTCTATTTACCACAGTGTGAGGAGCGGGGTAATGTGATGTCAGAGTGGAATGAACACAGACAATTGTGATGTGTAATTACATTACATTTATGCAGCTGATGCTTTTATCCAAAGCAGCTTACATTAAGTAAATTCAGCAATATGAAAACAAACCACAAACAGTAAGAGTCATGCAAGTCCAGCATCAGCTTTTTAATTTTTTAGTCTACAATAGAAGATGTGTAAAGTTTGGCAGAACCGAGTGTGGTGGAAGTGAGTTAGGGTTCATGGTTTGACCATGTCCTGGATGTAGCACAGTAGGTACAGGTAAGTACCTGTGACTTGAATAGGATTTGAGCAGCCACATAGCCAGTACAGGCTGAAGAGGAGCACTGTAATGTGATGTTAGAGTGGACTTGACATCACAGTGGACCATACAAATTAAATTGTAACATACGTTAGGCGCATGCGCGATGCAGGAGGTCGGAAGGGCTGAGGGCTCCTGAAGGGCTGAGGGCTCCTTCAAACAAATGGTTTAACTACGCTTAAAACCCATTAATTTCAAACTAACTTTTGAGAAATGTATTACAAATAATTCTGACACCGGCATAGACCACTCTTGAGACCTTTTTGACGAGTGACTAGATCAAACCGGCAAGTGAACCGGAGAAAATCCAGCATGGGAGAACCCGGTAAAGACAAATCGAAATCAGGAGGAGCAGCTGCGAGGCAAACAACCACAAGTATGAATACTAGACTTGACGAGATGGACGCGAAATTGGACAAAATACTGGAGAGTAATACTTCAACGAAACAACTGTTGGACATTATGTTACTGAGAGTCTCTAGACTCGCTAGATAAAAAACGTGACCGGAAAAACTCATGACAATGAAGTCAATATAGAAGCGCAGAAAACGCGAGTCACTGAACTGGAAAAGAAATTAGACCAGGCTATGGAGTACATCGACCAGCTCGAAAATCGAAACCGGCAAAATAATCTGAGACTCCTGAATGTACCAGAAGACGCGGAGAGAGGTACTCAAATGATCCCCTTTTTGATTGACATTTTTGAGGAGAAATGGAGCCTGGATTTAAAAGAGGAGGACTTTGAAAGAGCTCACCTCGTCGGGTCAAGGAAAGAGACGCACAAACACCCTCGAGCAATTATCTTCAAACTGCATCATTTCCAGAAGAAACTTGAAATCCTGAAGGAGTCCAAGAAGAAATCAGATGGATGCGACTTCAGAGTGGTTCCCGACATGTCAGTGCAACTTCGAGTGAGGAGAGCTGTGTTTTGGCCGCTGATGGACTATTGGGTGACGGGGGGAATATGGACTGAATCTGTCTCTCTCTCTCTCCTCTCTTCTCAATCTAATTGCTTCTATCATCCCAATTCTCTCCTTCCCCCTTTTGTTTTGTTTTTGTTTTTGAATTTCTAACAGAGATAGTGACCTAAGTACTTGGCACTTGTATAAATGAAAAAAAAAATAAAAAAAAAAATCTTAGTAGTAATATTGAAGTCATGTTTATTTTTCATTTTTACTTGTTTCTGCTAATATTATCGTTTGTATTTATATTATTACTAGTACTATTAGTATGATTGTAATGATGAATATGATGTAATCATGATATTATGTAATCATGACCTCATCCCAATTTATGTTAACCATGTCAACCATTCTAATTTGATAAACTCATTAAAAAAAAAGCAAAATTACATGTATAATCAGCAGAGAGGATGATGTTGGGGGAGGGGAGTGAGTGAGTGAGTGAATGAATGAATGAATGAATGAATGAAAGAGAGTGACCGAGTCTCTATGTAGGAGTGAGTGAGGGTCAGTATATATAAAAACCATTGTTTGTACGCCAAAGTGAGTAGGGGTTATAGCTCTAGTAAAGCATGCTCTTATATGGGAAAACCAGGGGGTTAATGTTTGTTTGTCTGTGTGTGTGGATGCGTGTGTGGTTGGAGGGTCATGTAAGTGTGTTTTATGCCTTAGCGTTCCTTAAGTATAGCTGGAGTGATCTCGTCAGGTTCTTCCTTGAGGCTTCCTTGGACTACACCATAGATTATGGCTAATAAAATGGAAAGCTCCATAAAAACCCTTCCTAACACATTTCAAATAGCAACTTGGAATGTAAATGGTTTGCAGGAAGGTACAAAAAAAGTAAAAGTAATGCAACATTTGGAGAAGCTGTCCGCCGACATTGTCTTAATGCAGGAGCTCCACTTTAAACCTGGGCAAATTGAACAACTCAAGAGGCATTGGGTGGGGGAAGCATTTGAAGCTGTATTTACTTCTAGAAGCAGAGGTGTAGGAATATTAATTAACAAGAGGATACCCTTTAAGTTGATTTCACAACATGCAGATGACTACGGTCAGTTTTTAACAGTTAAATGTGCATTGTTTGGGGAACTTTATACAATTATTAATAATTATAAACCTCCTAATTCGGATATGTCTTTTTTGAGTAAAATCCAAACAGTATTAGATAGCTCTCCAATGGGAGTGATCATTTTTGGGGGAGACTTAAACAACATTTTTAACTCTCAGGATAGCTCTACAAAAAATAGGAAAATTAATCCACCTAAAAGACTTCTGAGGTTCTTATTAGATAATGAATTAGAGGACATCTGGAGAACGTTGCATCCAAAAACAAGAGATTATACATATTTTTCACACCCTCAAAACAGCTATAGCCGAATCGACTACTTATTTATCTCCAGATTAGACCTGGATAGAATAGTATCAAGTAATATAAATGAAATTATAATATCAGATCACGCAATAGTAGTATGTAATATGTCGCTCAGACAAAATACTCTACACCATAGATTTTGGAGAATGAATAGGAAACATTTAACAGATACAGAATTTCTAAAACATATTAAAAACCACATTGATTTATTTATTCAAACTAATGTTAATGTTGGGAACCCTGAAAATAGACCGGAAATTGGTATAATATGGGACACATTTAAAGCATATATAAGGGGAATAATGCTAGGATTCGCAGCTAAAAAGAAAGCAGAATTAGA